AATTTTCATCATTCAGGCTCGTGATTCGAGAATCGTTTTTTTTTTAAATCTCCCTTCGGTTATCTTGTTTGTATTGCTTCTTACTTATATTTGGCTCATGGACTAATGGAAAGAACAACGTAGTATTCTCTCCACTAGCCTAAACATAACATTAGTATATCACTTGTATATAAATAATATATGACAAGAGTTTCTCACAAAACACGATTCAATGCAGGCATCACAAGACGGAGAATTGATTTCGTACGTCAAGTCGATATGCCGTCACTCGCCGAGTGACAAGTCCTTTGGACGACCTGGCCGCCGCCATAGGAATGTGGATGTTTCCCACAACCGGCTCATACCCGTCACCAGAGATGGGCACCGGTTGGCGGGAAAGACACACGCACACACACACTGGCTATTCTGACCCCTGCATGCGGAACGAGGATACAAAACAAAAATAACTCCGCCACGCGAATCTTTGCACGCGTGTGCGATTTAAAAAAAAAATCAATAGTCTCGCGAGTGCTGCTCGAACTACTGGCCGACGACCTCAAAGTTCACGGGAAGGGAGGAGGTGGCAGGAAGCGCACCCAATTCTTCAGCGAAGCCGGGATTATAAAGTCTCGGAGAGCGACTCGTTAAGTAGTTTTTTGGGTGGAGATGAATTACACCCTTGGTCTTCGGCCAAGTGTGCGTGTGTGAAATTGCACATTTTAATTAAACCGAAATCGGGCACCGCTGTAGATTGCATTTCTGGGCTGATGCTTTTTATTGCTCGGGTTGAGGAGGCGTTGCTCGTAAATTGCTCCGCTGCTAGAAACTCTTTCGCGACAAGTGAGCGGCGTGATCCGACCCCAGCGGCGCGTACGCGCAACGGCGTGCGAGCGAACGGAACGTCGCGCGGAGGGAACGGGGCGGCGGCGGCGCGCGGGGGGCGGGGGGGGTGTCGGATTAAATTTAGCTGCGTATAAAACGTTGCCTATAATTACGTTTTAATCACCGTATTCCCAAATCTTTCTCGCGACAGGAACACTTTTTTTTCTCTCCAACCCCTGCCAAATAATGAATAAAAGAAATACGCCGCCCTTCTCGCTTGATAGCCAGATTGGAACACCGCAATTTCTCTCGCCCGAAATGGATTTTTTTATTGTGCGGAATTTCTTCCATATAAAGGCACGCTCACTCAGCGATGTTGGCGACGCAATGTGCAAATATGGCCTGGAACTTGCAGCTGGGCAGGCAGGCTCCTTCAGGGCCAGTGGAGAGGGAGAGAGAGAGAGAGTGAGATGGGCGGGGGGAGCGGTGTGGGAAGAGGGACCACCTTGAAAAAACAAAAAACACCGTGGCACCTTCTCGCTGCCAAACGTTGCAGTGCCGATTTTCGACGGGCCTCACGAAAAAAATAATTCGAGCGCACATGGTCACAAGGCTGAGTGAATGGTTCAATAAACACGAGTGCTAGTTTACCCGTTTTATTGCCAACGATTGTTAACGACAATAATGACAATTATTATTTACGTAGGAAGGACTCATTGAGTCTCAAGACTCTGTTTCAGGAGAGTCTTTTTGTAGTACGTTGGGCCAACACCGTGAATGGGAGTTTTGGCTTAATGTGGGAGGAAACTGGAGTAACCTGGAGAAAATAATTATTTGGCTGCTATACATTTCCGCATTATAAGGCACTTCTATGGGTTATCATTTGTGGCTAGGTCACTTCTTAAAAATAGCTATATAGCTCAGTGGGCCTTACCTGGTAAAATGTTTTTTTTTAAATCCACCACGCATATCAGGACGGTGACACTCGGCACTGTCATAATTTAGCCACCTGGCAGCTCCATGCCTACACCACGTGGCAAATCCTGATTATAGAGGAGTGGTGGTTTATGGTTTGAGAGGCGGTGTTGTCTACTGTTGTTTTACTTTATTTTGTTAGCTGAGACAGGTGGAGATTGTTGGGTTCCATCAAAGATCGTGTCATAGTTTAAGTTGCTTAAATGACCACGCCTATCTTATGTACTATTTATATGCCAGCAATGTCTCAGCATATTGGGAAACTGGCTATTTTCAGAGCAGCAGGCTGAGGCAATGGTCCTCTCTGTTGGTTCAACACCTGTTGCTATGAATACTCCCAACATGCATTTAGTTGGTGGGTCCAAACCAGATATATCTGGTTTAGACCACAGATCCAATGACCAGAGGCGATAAGTTAAGTCTGATGGATGAAAACATCTATTTTAATTGTAGATATGCTTATTTATGTTATGTTATTATCCATAACCCTCCTCAACAGTGCAAAGGAGCCACCCATGTTTTAGATGTGTGGCTGTTTTACCAGAACATTTGGCAACCCAAGCGGATTTGTTTCACAAGTCTGACTCTGCTGATGAGACCCAGATAAATAAAAAACAGTTTTACGATTTTCTTGCTTAAGGTGGATAAACTTCAGTGGCACCAATTTATGTTTTTGGCAAATACACGTGCATTATGTGGTGGATTATCACATACGTAACATTTGTTGGCCATATAAAATAAAAATCAGTACGAGTAAACTTTAGCCACCTCAGTTGCTACTGATTTCTGCTTTGGTCCATGGACTTAAAGCCCAATAGCGTTTGAGTACCACTCATAAATAGTGTGCACAAGTGAATCACGCAAGATCCACAATCGTAACGTCACATCATGCATGCATTTTGAGTCCGCATGCAACAGTGGATTGAGTCATAAATAAAATCTATTCTTATGCTGTCGATGCTTGCGTTGAACCATGCAGGTAATAATATATGATTTTACAGGGCTACGCAAATGACACGCTCACATTACATTGAGGCCAATAGAGCGAGAAAAACTGTAGACATTAGAAATTTCGTGAGACTATACAAACGAGATGGTGCAAGTAAGCCAAAATACGATTCGATGTTGGAATCGAATCACAAACCCACGTCGTGACAATTCATTGCATAACTGTGGGGGGGGGGGGGGGGGGGGGGGTAAAGAGTTAAATCCTTAATTGAGAGTTATGACGAACCAATCGATTTAAACGCTCATGGGATTAAACCGAAAACAACGATTTACATCATTCTTCTTCATCAATATGAGCAAACGTGTAAAACAAGATTTGTGTTTTTTAATAATCTAATTTTACAGGCTGACGCACCGAATTGCATCAATAGCTATACGTTTTAGCAACGTGGGGTTGGAACGATTGTGCTGTGGTGAGCACGTTGCGCCATGAACCTGGCTCAGCCGAGTTCAATCCTCAGCCCCAGCTAACAGGAGTGACGAGCGATATCTGAACCAGTCGAAAGAAGTTCAACATACGTGCATAGAGTCCTAGCCCCCATGCCATTCACCAAACCTACGACAACCAGGTGAAGTTATGGTTAAACAAACTCCCCATGAATCACATCGGTGTATTGCCGAAGGGAGGTCAATAAACGCGGTAAAATGGAAATCGCGTATGTGCCTTGCCATTGTCAATACTAATTTTCATAGTACCACAGCAGACCTACAATCCCTGTTACCATTTGGTAGTAGGTTTAAGTCCAGAACAGTATTCTACCGCTATTATTTAAGATTCCACACACACACACGTGGAGGGGGTTGCCAAAAGATTAAACATTTCAATGCAGGAGAAAAACAAGCTCGCTTCTTGTTGTTGTTGTTGCTGCCAGCAAAGCCCTTTCAAAAGCCAGCAGAGGATCGCAGCGTTCGATGTACGGGGACAATTAGCAACCCATGCGCGCGTTTTACTCTGCAGCCAGTTAATCGGGGAGTAAAATACCTGCCAACTATAGGGTGGATGTCTAGGGGGGGGGGGGGAGCATAAATGGGGATTGGTTACGAGGCCATAAACGGTGAGGGGATAGGCGGTGGGAGAGGGTGAAGTGTCACTTTGCCTGCTGCTCAGTAATTAATGGCGCTGTCAATTAGTCAAAATGGCTGCCATTCCGTCACCTGCCTTGTGGCCGTCAGCCATCGGTCCCCGCAGCTAAGTGATGTGTCGTTGCCGAGCCAACTTTTTTTTTGTCTCAACCCCATTTGTCTCCCTTGCTAACTGGGACTTTTTGGGGTTTCAGTGGGCTCTCACCTGTGCGCGTATGGAACCAATGTTGCTGTTAAGATGTCCCTTCAGATGGCGTTATCCGCCGATGGGTTGTGTAAAAACTATACGTTTTTTGGTGAAGAGAAAAAATGTGGGAAGGAGGCATGATTTATTTTGGTAACCTATTGATACTTATCTTAACAGTCACATTCACGTCGGTGCCCGTTGTTTAAGGCTAGACGAGGACACATTGAGATCCAGTATGGTTTAAAATATACCCTGCAGCTTCTTATCACCGCCAAATGATAGTAACAAAAAATATCCCTCATCCCTTCCGTGCCCCCCTCACCATTTGTATGCCCCCACTATTTGGACTGTCTTGAGATGCAACTTTAGACTCCTTTGTGCATCGAAATTGTGTAAACTGCACTTGGCCTGGCATGAATTTCAGGATGAAAGTGGACTCCCATGAGCAGTTAGAAGATGTTGTCAGACTGGAGAGTAATGGGGAGCTTCCAAATACAGCTCAGACACGATTCGGAAGCTAGATCAGGACCTTGATCTCATCATCTGGAGCTCTTCCATGATCACTCTCCATTTTCCCCATACCTCAATTAATACACAGCCATGATCAATTAGGAAATGATGATATCAACAGGAAGTGCTGAGATCACAGGAAGTTGCTTGTCCACCCGTAGTCACAAAGCAATACAAAATTTGGTTGTGTTGTCTTGATCTTCTCTCTCTGTCGTATGCATTTAAAATCAACGGATTGAGTTGATAACTGTACGCCGAGTTTGAGGAAAGCCATTCAATGGTGTCTGGGATTGCCGAATGAATTTGGTGTTGAATTATTACGCTCTTTCTTTCACGATACATTCTCGAATGCAGATGAAGGAAGGCAGCGGAAAGTTTGTAACGTTTTGCCATCTCCATCTCTCGCCCCCTGTCTCTGTCCCTCTACCGCTTGCAGTCATTCGGGCTAAAGTGGTCGGTGAGAAGATACTGGGAGGAGATGGAAACGAAGGTGGACATGATCCCTTCTCCACGATCCAGTACGAAGTGAAGCAAGTGAAGGTGAGGTGGACGCAGACGCTTAACTAAACTCTGTTTTATTGAACCAGGTAAGGCCCACTGAGCTATATAGCTGTTTTCAGAAGCGACCTGGCCACAAATGATAGCCAAATACTCGAAACAGCATTTTGTTTCTAAATGTGGAGGGGAAAACAGGAGGACCCGGGGAAAAACCCAAGTGACCACGGGGCGACAGCCATGCAAACTCTAAATATACAACAGGCTTCAGGGTCGGGATTGAACCCACGACCTCCTGTATACCAGGCGAGGTAGTTAACATCTCGGTATGTACAATGGTTGCCACCACATACGGCGATCAGTCTCCGTTTATACCATTTGCCGACCCGCCGCCGCCGCCGCGGCCACCACCACCACGGTGTCATTGCCAAATCTGAATTATTGATGTGCGGCTCCGTATTTTTAGCCTAACTTTAATGGAGGTCCCCAGAGGCTTGGGGCTTGCAGGCTTTCAATGATAGTAAAAACAAAAAAAGCAGGATTACAAATGGATATATCAAACTCTGTGATTGCAAGTATAATAACGAGCTAAAGAGATTTGAGGGTTTTTTTTTAAGTCAAATAAAATAAGACCGTAAGTGACAATTTTATTCAGGGTTAAAACAAAATGAGCACGTTCATTCAGACTAAAGTGGCACCTGTAGTGGAAACGTATTTAAAGGTACGCGTAGAGAAATAAAACGACGAGCACCGCATGCAACAATCCATAGATGCATCGATTAAAACCGAGTTTTACGTGTGTAGTGGGTTCCCAGGACACGGAGACGGCAGAGTAGAGGCAGCACTATTTATTGAACAAGGGGTCACACTGGAAGGGGTAGCGGCCCCTTCACCCGTATCCACTCGGGGATAACCCCAGGCTATCTAGCCTAAGCCCTAGGCTCCCGATTCCTCTGACTATAGGCGCTAGAGGAGGCTATCTGATCTGGCCCTGGTCAGACACAGGTCTCGGCACCCCACCCACCAGACCGGCCCTTAAAAGGACTCCGGCTCTGGGGCTTTGGGGCCGCACCGCCGGCTTGCCGTGCCAGCCCTGAAAAGGACAGCGGTCACTGGAGTCCCAGGGTCTATCCTAGCCGGCCTTCCTTCTTCACTGGCTTTTCATTCTTGGCCCCAAAACACTGCCCCGAGCTCTCTGGCTCCCCGCCCTTTATACCCATACCCCACTGAGGGTGGAGCCATAGCGGACGTGGTTGTAGCCACCAAGGTGTGGTTGTGCCTCACCTTCCCACACCGTGTGTTTCTTCCCCATAGCACCCCTACACGTGCATGACATGTGCATCGATTCGTGTATGTTCAACTTGATTATTTACGGTTGATGCAAATTGTTCGCTAATTATAAACAACTCATACAACTCATACCTGTCAACCCCTTATTAGTCCCCTACCTTATTACAGACCAATTCAGACCTTATTGGTCACCCCGTGTCCTTATAAATCTCAACGTTCATCCTACAAAGTCCCTTCACAAGGGAGAAACACAAACAAATAGACATTATTTTTTTGCCCCTATTGAAACGGCTGTACGCCGTATGGACCTGACAACTCAATTTCCCTGTACAAGAATACGGGTTAAACCTTCTGAGTTTCAAGCTCTTGAGGTCGGGTGCAAAAATATAAACGGAGAAACATCTTAAAGCGACGACGCGCAACAGAAACATCCTGGGATAAACCAGCAAATCTTCCTGAAAAAAAACCCCACCGTATTACAACGCTGTGAGCAAAAATCCCAGTGTGCTGCAAGTCACACAGGTATGGCAACTGATGACTCTTGGCTACTGGAGTAAACGTCAGAGAACAAACGAGGCGAACGGTACAAATGCCACAGCGCAGTTTGAACTGATTAGATGGATGTAACAAGACAGCAGCAGCAACAGAACACACCAGACAGGACAAACAACACAAGCGAGGAAAAAAAAAAGTAGATGGTGATTTCTAAAATAGAATTGTGACTCCAAATATTGACACTTCGTCGAATAACGAGCGTGGTGAACTTCTCGCGTGGTCCCTTAAATACATATAGACCGACTAAAACACGATGCACATTCATTGCTACATTTGCTCTGCATTTGGATACTTGCACAAATAATGTTGAGACAGATTTCGCCCGCGATTGTGCAATATGTGCTGTGATATTAGTAGAGTAGCCCCAGGGCCGGATGAAGCTAGTGCGGGGCCTGTAACATATGTTTTAAAGTGGTCCCAAATAAAAAAAAAACCCCACAAATATTAAAACACAGATTTTTGAACTTGCATAGTAAAGTAATTGTATTTTTTTCAATTGCTATACAGCCAGATAATACGACAAATCGCTAGCCTTAAACACCCAGCCGTTCGTAGAAAAAATTAAGGTAGTATAATACTATAGTAATAGAGCAAGTGCAGAATCACTGAACCGGAATTGACAGCTTGAAAGCATTTAGCGCTGGGCCCTTGAAGGTGCGAGGCACGTAGCATATGGAGCTACTTTTGCTACGAGGGTAATCCGGCACTGAGTAGCCCACGTGCAATGTAGAGCCTGCAAACTAGCAGCTTGTGAGGTGGCCAGGTGATGGCATTATTGAGTGTTATCCCCTCGTAAACACGGCGAGTCTTCTCCAGAATCTCCAGTTTCTTTTCGCGTGAAGCCAAACTCTTCAGAATGGCATTGAACAAAACATCCTAGGGTTTAGATGCCTCATAAATAGGAGTCTGGACTCATATTTACGACGAATACGGTAATATCAATGGTTGCCAGCACACACACGTGTGTATTGATAAGTTTTTGTCTCAGATTGCTGCTCCGGAGACCCATCGGCTAATGGATTATAAGCAATATTTTATTTTTTATGTGAAGAGACACGTGGATTCATGTTCAAGTAATTTATTATCCGACTGCTTTTTATTTCAATAACATTGATTTTTGTGCTGATGGGCCCCATCACTTAATTGGATGGCTCTTGCCTACAACATCTTTCAACCACAGCAGTGTATATTTAGACCCAGACTCTGCTGATGAGACCCAGCAGGACAAAACCAATAACAGGTTGTTTTGCTTAAACAGAAGAAATTGTGTTGGACAACGATATCTGGATGGCCAATAGGCTGGTGGATTACAAAAAGCACTCAAATTTAATGTGGAGAGATGGGCTAAAGTCTAATCTTGATTTGAAGCTTCCTTGACTGCAGGAATCCATAGTCTTTGGTTCTTTCGGTAAAGTCACGTAGGTATAAATAAAATAAATCACGACGTTTCGGGCGCAACACATGCGTCCGAAACGTCGTGATTTATTTTATTTTATACCTACGTAACTTTACCGAAAGAACCAAAGAGTATGGACTGAAGTCTATTTAATAGTAAACATCCTGGGCTTGCAATGTAGAGGTCACTGGTTTCCAGCAGTATAAATAGGGAACACCACAGTTAGTCAATCGCCAGGTTACGTGCGGTGAGGCAAAGCGTGGCTACTCCCACCTCTCCCAAGACGTCTGGCCAGCTAAGGAAGAGGAGACCAAATGCTCTCTGTAGAGATGTTCTGCAGAGCTCCCTCGAATGGGGAGGCCTTTCCTCCAGCGGTGCTGTGAGCAAGCAATTCAATGGCTGCCCAATTACCGCTTTACCTATCGTCAACGCACCTTCGACCAGCATGGTTGGCTACGTACGGTGCGAAAGAAGGTTTATTCGAAACAGAAGTTAATATGCGAAGGATAAAAAAGAAGGGAGTCAATTAAGCGGGAGTCACAAGACGTCTGGAGCACCCTGTGCTCACCGGTTTCAACTAGGAGGTGCAAGAAATCCCTGAAAAGACGGGAGAGCCGCTGTCTGCCACTAATTACCCAACACGTGCGAAGTTTCAAATCCTGCCGTGGTGACCACAGAGAAGGCAGTAATTCCAGAACCGGTTGTGGGTACTCGAGGGTATTCATTACAGCCCTCCGCCCATCTGTACTGCATTACGCAAGCGGAAAGCAATACAGACCCATCATTAAGCAGCAGCCTCATAGGCTGATGGGATTAAGGGGTATGAGCGAGCACCAATTAAGGATGGCATGACGCACAGATAAAGCGGTGTGTGGTGTATGCGCTATCCTGGCAACCAGGGTGTGTACACCAATTAAAAAATGAAAATGTTAACCTGGTCTGGGCTTTATTTAGGTAGGCTCAGCCTGAAATCGTGGAATTAATGCCCCCCCCCTACTGTACTACCGCTTTGTCTCTCATTGCAATTGCGAGCATCCATTTCTCCACGCTTCCTTGCGCACTTTTCCGTTTTAACGTCAGTTTCTTCGTCAACGCCCATCGACTCCCGCACCCCCGATCAGCACGGTCGGCGACGTACGGCGCGAAAGAACTTCAACATGCACACATACGTCCTTCGTGTCTGATACGTACGCCACGGCAAGCCAAAAGATTAATAATAATAATAAAAACTTTCTTCCGCGCAAAACACACCAAAAAAAACGCGCAGACGCGTCGCGTTTAACCCGGCTACGTCCGCGTTTCGCCGCGTGTCGCCTGTCCGCGCGACCCTGCAGATGTTCCGCGGGTTCGACAAGATGTCCGAGGTCAAGTACGTCTACACGCCGCTGCACGACAGCCTGTGCGGTGTGCGGCTGCAGGTCAACAACGTCCAGTATGTGCTGGGAGGTGAGTGCTCGTTTGTCGCGCATAACGAACCCAAACGCACCCCCCCCCCCCCCCATTTGATCGATCGCGCCAGAAACGGCGGCGGCGGCGCGGGCCGATTTAGATTTTGGGGGTCCCTGGGGTAGAGACGTTTCACCGGCAGTGTCATGAGCGAGCAATCGAAGGGCTGGGTGCGTACACAGCCACGGTGGACGTCGTTGTCAATGGGAACTCTCTCTCTCTTTTGGTTTTGTTGACGTATGATCAGCAATACTACGACCATAATAGCGATGGTATGTACGTATGTTGAACTTCTTTCGCACCGTTACGTAGCCAACCGTGCAAATCGGAAGTGCGGGGGAAGGACAACACACTAAACGCACGACAAATTGTTCTAAAGAAATTAATTTTCAATCGCGATTATGTAAAAGTACAAAGCCCCAACGGCTTCATAATAAGAGAGACTTTTAGGGACATATTGTGATCGTAAATTACTGTACATATAAAAAAAATATAAGAAATTATTGTTGGCTGCCCATTGAATGTATAAATTCCCAGTGATGTGAACAGAGAGACATGGACAAGAGATGCAGAGATATAGACGCAGTACATGATATAACAAATGCAGACTAAAAATCGAGGTAGGTCGTGAGATGGCAGAAGAGTGACGCCGACAAGATACATGTAGACTAAGAGGGATTAATTGGCTCCTTTTCACACGAACTGCCAAGTTATGTTTATTGGGATTTCATTTTCAGCTGATATTTGATGCACCCCCATTCCGTACATGAATCCCGGGGGGGGGGGGGGGGGGGGCTTTTGCTCTACTTGGGGCCTTGGTTTGCTTCATGCCCCGCCCCCACCCCCCCGCCCCCCCTACACCCCCCACACCCCGACCCCCCACCACTGCCACAGACCATCCTGACACTCACCTCACAGGCCGTACGTCAAACCCAACTGAAGTACCAGTTACCTCGAAATTAAACGGTATGAAGACGGCAGCCCCGGTTCAGAGATAATGAATGTGGTGTATTAATTACGTTGCTTAGCGTTCTCAATTGACGATGTAATTAAAGGAACCCCCAATTAAATTACTAACCATTAATTAATGGTGCAACATCTGGCCTTTGCAGGCATTGCTTTAGAAATTATCAGCATGAACTAAGTTCAATGCTACTCTGCCAATATAAACATATTCTGAATTACATTAAAAAAAATAACATCACACAACTGCAAAGGGTACAGTAACATAATTATAATAATAACGTTACATGGAACCTCTGCTCAATAAGAATAATGTTGCTTATCCACGATATCCTCACTAAGTTTCGCTAAGGCCCTGCGTTGGGATGTTTGGCATATTTGAGTACCCAGAGCCAAGGGTGTAACACTCCCAAGACCCGTACAGATAGATTCCACGACGCAATTCAACAGGGATCTTTAGAGCCTCTAAATGTGACCCTGTCTCAAGATACTCTACAGAAATAAAGCGTATTTATCTTGTCGAGTAATCAGTCATAGGTAGAGGTAATAAATGAATGTCTTGATCCTGCACTTGTATAGAGACAGGGAGACAACAGTACAGGTGGCTGGAGGAAGAGACTTCCAGACTACGTGGGGCAGCTTACAGCTCCAGCCTGTGACGCCTGGTATTCCCAAGCAGCCTGCTATCCAAGCACTAACCCAGCTCAAATCTGCCATAGCTCGGAAGATCCGACGAAACCGGCGGCAATTCCGGGTGAATTTGACCGTTGGGACGAGTCGACGTCCCCTTCGATGACGTGGTGGTGGTGCGCGTGCCGCTCACAGGCTCCATCAGGGACGGGAAGCTGCACATCGGGCTCTGCGGCCTCATCATGACGTGGGATGCCCTCACGCTGTCGCAGAAGAAGAGCCTCAACCACAGATACCAGATGGGATGCGACTGCAGGGTGAGGTCGCTCGTGTGTGTGCGCACGTGTGCGCTTTAAAAAAAAAAAGCAACGCTTTTCAACTAAAGCCGAAAGCGTTTGTCTGTTTGCTCTGTCTGTCCAAAACATCGGGAGGGCACGATGACTCTGGTGAAGATGATCCAATTATGATCCAACCTTTAGTATATGTAACCATGTCGCTATTAGGGACATACCCTCTTGAAAATTGGCCCAATTAATCAACGGATTTCCCAAAACTTGCATATACCAACCACAGCAAAAAAGGGGACTAATGCAAATTCGCAATAGTGTTTTGCCCCGACAGCCGCTTACGGTTGGACAGCGTTACACAATGCATGTGTAAGCGTGTGTTTTGTCCCTGACGTTATTTTGATTTATCTTCACGTCCGCGGGAAACCCGGCAGCGGCCTGCCGAGCTGACCTTTAGGGCAGCGATAGAGCCCTGACCTCCTGGCTGGCCGCGGGCGGAGCTTTTTTGTTTTACGGTCGGAATCTCCCGACGAAAACAAAAGGCGCGCGGGGGTCGAAGGGACGTGAATTATTAAACGGGCGACACGGTGACGTCATGCCCCCCCCCTCCCCCATCGGTGGTGGGGGGGGGGGACGCCTTCACTCGCTCACGTCGCTATCGATCCCCTGCGGTTCTCGCTGTGCTCCATTAGGCCCAAACAGTGTTTTCAAGAAACCTTCCTGCATCATCGTCATCATCAACGTTATTATGCATGAGAGACATGACGAGTCAAGAGAGAGCAAATGGCTTTAGGGCATTCTGAAATGTTGGTCGCGGTGTAGCGGTTGTATTTGGAGGGGGTGGGCGAGGGAGTGCAGCTACTTACGTAAAATAAATAAAAAACGTGCTGCCCCTTTTTGTCTGCTGCCCCCGTATCGATTTAAGATGCCCTGGAGATTATATCGTGACCTTTGTCCTTCCAAAAATCAAACCCGTCCTCGTCGCTGCACCTTGGTGGGAATTTCTGAACGCAACACTCGTGGCTTACGAGGGTGTTCGTTCCTGCTGAGGCCGCACGGAGGTCACGCTGTTGTCTGATGGAGGGAACTCCATGGAGCAATTGTTGACACATTGCGATTATTCCATTAAAGTGCACACTTTTGTGGTACTTGAAAGTGGAATAACCTAAGGTTATCATTGTGAGCCACATAAACCGATACCATGAACTGTCACTGTATATCAGTATTGCCAACAAATAATCTATACAATAACAAACGCAAGCTTTCTGAAGTGACTGCACCATCGTTTATTTTCTCTTGCAGGCTCTACCTACTTTCTATTGGCTTTAGCATTACACGCTTGTAAAATGTACCCACAAAACAGAGTTATATAGATTGAGTTCAGCAACCCTGCAAAATCCCCAGATACTAATGTCATTGAAAGTTAAGTTATTCATTTTTAGAGCAGTGCAGCAAGATCACCTGTTTTACGGTGCTTTTATGCTCCCACATATATTCTTCCTGCCTTCAACCAAACCCAAACTGACCAGTGTTGGCAAAGCAAGGTCAAATACCCCGGCATGTCATGGGGAGTCCCTCATCTCGTAGTGGATTTAAAAAAAATGTTTCTTACAAAATGATCTTTAATTTTTTTTTATCTGAAACAACCCCCCCCCCCCCCCAAAAAAAAATCTGAATCCAAAACTCATCCCTTCCCGTGTTATGCGCACCTTGTGCACGTGCGCGCGTGTGCAGATCAAGAACTGCAACAGCCTGCCGTGCGCTGTGACGGACGAGAGCGAGTGCCTGTGGACCGACTGGCTCATCGAGCGCAAGATGACGGGCCACCAGGCCAAACACTACTCGTGCATCAAGCGCAAGGATGGCTCGTGCACCTGGTACCGTGGGGGGCCACCTCCCGAAAAGGACTTCCACAACGCCGTGGAACCCTGATCTGGCTCGCCACGTTCGTTCGTTACGTTCAATGTTTGTTTGGTTTCGTCTTAAAAAATGAAAAGGCGCATCTATTTTGTATTTTATTTTTTTAGCCCCTTCTTAACAGCCAGACCTTTTAATTTGACATGTATTGATTCTCTAATGAGTTTGTATAGAACATTGCTGTTCTCTTTTTGCATCGAACAGGGCCGCATAGTGTTAGACGGGAGCGCTCTTGCCAATTACATCTGGTAACCTATCAGCATTTGTTTAACGATCCTAGCTCTGCTAATGAGACCCAGAAGGTCGAAACTGGTCCAAGGTTTGCTTGCTTACACGAATGCTGCCGGATAATGTCGAGCTAGGAAAGCTGAACGGCCGATGGACTAAAATATATATTTTTTACATGTGAAGACACAAAGGAGAGGTCTGTTGAAACGTGCTTGTATCTGTCTGTCGCTGTTGTCCCTTGCTGTCGCTCACTGTCCATTGCAAATGCCCCCCCCCCCCCCCCACTGTCTCCCCACCAACATGTGTGGGTTCATTAAACGAGTGGGGAAATGACACAGAAAGTGGTGTCGAGTGATTTGAGAGGGCACTTCCGTTTGGCTCGGTTAAAACCCCAAGGTCGCCGTGACCATTAGTTGCATCGGGGGGGCTCCTGAAGAGTAATAATAGTCTTATCTATGAAGTGTTTTTTTGTTGTAAATAATTTATTTTAGATATATTCTCGTAGGCCCCACTATCAATATATAACTGAAATATTATTTTGTTGTAGCACGGATGGGAAATATATATATTTTTGGAGCGTGTGCGTTTTTTCGTTGTTATTTTTTCATTTTTTTTTTACTTCGGACAATCTCGTAGATGTGCTCGGAAGTGCAGAAGGGGGATGAACAAAACTCCAGGCCATATTGGCGGCGGTAAAATTTCTGGGTTCGCTTTCAGCTCGGGCAAATGAAAAAAAACAAACATCCCGCTGTGTTATAAGCACATGGCCTGGGGCTGCCAATCCCTTGTGGACACCGTCACCGTGCCCTGCTGCTCACAGAATGAAAGGAGGCCTAAAACACCTCGTTCAGCCAATTAAAGGACTCCGTTGTACAGTTTGTTTAGTTTGCTGTGTTCAGTGTCTCTTAACGTGAAATGATGCAAGAAAATTTAATATTCTTAGGAGGAAGAAAAAAAAACTTACACAATACTCGTATGTTATGTTTTCTTATTGTTTCATTTTGGACCAGCGAGCCTTGATGTGCTCCTATTAGGATGCTTGAGAGAATGTGGTCCTTTTTTTGGTGACGTGAAATCTAAAAAACGGGACCTCAAGGGTGCACCCACACATATGTAATGGCATTTGTATAACATTATATGGCCGAATATAACTTTTAAAGATCAGAATGTTTCGTGGACAATGTATTCTTTTGCTGAGATCCATTCATGCCATATTATTCGTTTCTTTGGTTATTTTTTATTCATGGTGGGGGGGGGGGGACTTCTTTTGGAGCTGGTAAATTTGTCACTGCACTGCATGGACAACCCATTACTCTGCTTTTATGGGAATTATAGCATATATTCAGCTTAAAGTCTCAGCAGGAATGGTCTTTTATGTGGTTTGTAACTTTTTGTAATGTTTAATGCTGCTGGACTTCATCGTTAAACACATTTGACAAATATCGTTGTGGTTCTTTTTTATTTTTTTTTATAATGCAGCGCAGTACTAGACCTTGCCTATGACCAAATCACCCATCACCCAGACATCAGACGCTAAGCACAATTGAGCCTGGATAGTGCTCGGATGGGTGACCATCACCACAATCACCACCACCACCACCACCACGCACAAACGACATGTGTAGTAGGGATGTTGGGCAGGACAGAGCTGTCCAGCAAAATCCATTGTTGTCGTGCACTCCTCCCTAACCTTCACCAACCAGCACTGACCAGTGTGGTGCAGTATGGTCAGATATCCCCTCGTGGCCCACAAGGTGTGCGAAGACCCTTGGCCAGCAGTGGCTGACAAATGGGATGTGCATGCACCAGACACTCCACTTTCTCCTCGCTCGCTTCCAGCCATACCAGCACGTCATTTATCGTAACGACGCAGGGAGTCGGGGGTCGGTTGCATAAATATACTTAAGCACATGATTCCCTTAGCTCCTATTTAAATCCGTGACAAGGGAGAAGATCACTTAAGATGTTCCATGCAATTGGCCAGAGGCCCTGATCTATCCAAGGTCCAGTAATTCCATTAAGTTATCCAGATGTCCAGCTTAGGTTGATGACCCAAGATCCTTTGAAATAAGAAAGGTATTTTTGTGTTTCTCGATAAAGATGAAAACAAGTTTGCATAAATAAAGTTATGGTTAGAAATGATAGGCCTAAACGTGTTTTTAGAGCCCTAGTATTGTCGCTGGCAATATACAAATGATGGTCAAACCCCATGTGACCTCAAGTCAGCCTATCACAGAGCCAAGGGGTTAAAGTACCAAAGTGTACCATTTTTGTATACATTATACAATATCAACTTGTAAAACAAAATGAAACATTCACAGTTAATGCTTCGTTATTATTCCAATATCTTTAAAAGTATTTAATGGAGTCAAATACCAGTATGCCCGAGTCATGAGGGGGAATGCTCACATTCATCCCTGACAATACTTCCTGAAGCATGAACACAGAATGTACAACCGTGTAACTGTAACTTGTTCTACAAATGTTCATCGTTTATAATAAACCAATGCTCTTATTAAGCATATGTTACTTCATCAAAAAATATATTAACACTATTTTAATTATTTCCTTGCTCCGAGAGTATAACAACAGTGTACGCTTTGCATTCTCTTAACTTTTGATAATTCTGCCATTATTGAGTTGTTTTTTTTTCCGGGTGGCTTGGGGTGTCAGGGCACGTGCTGAGATGCTGGGTTTGAATCCGGATTTCTGCCACCCTTGATGAAAACAAATTCTCAAGTGGTGGTTGAATTTATGGTCTCCGCCTGGCCACCAGTGACTGCACGTGAAAGTCATCAAATCAAATTAGTTTTTTTTTCCTCTCACTTAATTCGGCTAAGTTTAAGCTCTGAGAATGTTATAAATGTCGGTTTGACTGCCACGCGACGAAAATGTATTTGTAGCGGGTTACGTGCGGCAAAGCACAATACCGCCAAATGTATGGATACATTAAAGGTCGCTTGAACGGATCTCAGATGGGAGTTCTGTGGATATTTCCTTCTGCCAGGCCTTCCTCTAACCCCACGGTGACGAGCACACTCGGGTCTCGGGCCACGATTGCCGAAAGCGCGAAATTTAAAGAACACTGGAGAAAAGATAAGAAGATATAGAAAACTGCCATGACAGTTCAACAACAACAACAAGGTTGCTTGGTTTTATCAACTCGCATGCAGGCCGTGACAACACGGCCTTTATTCCAAAATTTGCGACCAAAACTACGCCCCAATTCGACAGCAGCAATTGACCCCACGTGTCAGAGATATTATTAATGTGATGACAGCGCGATTGCCTAGTCCTGTTTTGTATGTTACTATTAAATAAAATGAGCTGGTGTACTATATGAAGGGACTATGTCTTTACTCTTTGGTTCTTTCGGTAAAGTCACGTAGAAAGAAAATACATTTTCTACGTGACTTTACCGAAAGAACCATAGAGTAATTCCTGCAGTCACAAAAGCTTCAAATCGACTATGCCTTTGTTATTATTAGTATCAAAGGATGCCATGTTCATTGTAGTTGATTGAGTCTGATTACTCGGTTGTACAGACCAGGGTATAGAACAGCAGGGATCGCATTCATGATATTAAGAGTTAAATTTCCACCCATCACCAACCCCACTGGCCAGCGTGATGATGTATGGTCAATTTACCACCATAACCTGCGTGGTGTGAGGAGGCCTTCATCCAAGAGTGGATACACACACATATACATGTATATTATCAAACTGGACATCTGTCAACATACCGGACGTCTGTGAAAAACAGCTTCATAGCTCATGGTATTCCTCCAGTCTAAACAAAGATTCTGATCCTCAACCCTCTGTGGTTGCTCAAGTGAGTGCCACTGCGTCACTTGGTAGGTCATCACAATTGGTTGTCCAGTGGACAGACCTGCCGCTGGCAAGAATGTGGAAATTCCACTCCTGGCCGAGGAACACCCAATCGAGGTGGGTACCGCCGGATGCTTGTGTAGGTGTTGGGACACTGCGTCATTTTAGTTTGATCTTTTTTACTTTGAATTAAAAGTTTTGGATATCGTGAGCGGAAGCCCGATCGCTTTTGTTTTTTTTTTTACCCACCCTCCGTTGGAAGCTGCTCACAGATCGACGAAATACAACACACGGGGGTAAAGGGAGAGATACATGATACAAAATAACCCACGTGGAGTGGACGAGTAGGGATCGTGAGCCATGGACAGAAACGCACTCGGTCTTGCCAACATTTACCAATACGTAAACATTCCCCTGCAGACGGCGACGACGACAAGGCGATCTGCAGCACTGTTGCGAAATTGTGGTTGCGCCACTTTTGGTTCCAGGGGACACAGTGGCTGCGCTAGGCCCAAGCAAATCAAGCATCAGCTCAAAAGAGGGGCCCCGGTTTCATGGAACAAAAAAAACAATTCTGCCTGCTACAAAGTTGCTGATTATATATGTGTGTGTGTTTCTGATTCAGAGCAGTGTTATTTACGGATGTGTTGTGTCTTTCGTATTTGTGCTAGTGGACCACTGCCAATCCATTAAATATATAGGGGGTGCATCAAACATCGGCTCAAATTCAAATCTTAAATAAACATCAAGATAATGACTGTAACATTCAACAAATCTAAATCTATCCCATCTCCATCTTGCCTACATTCTCTTCCCGCATCTTACACTAGGGTTCATCTGGACCTCGATATATTTTTCATCCCACCAAGGGGTTTATAAATTGAATGGCAGGGCTCCAAAATATATTTCTGTTTAGGGCCCCCCCATTGCCACCCCCCCTTACCACCCCCCCCCCTTGCCACCCGCCCCCCCCACTGGGGTGTAGACTTACCATCTCACGGTGGTCGGCAAAGAAGGACTGCTCGATCAATGGGAACCTTTTGCTCCCCAGGTTCTTGCGTATTCTGATCAGCTGCGAGAACTGGAAGAGAGAGACAAGAGAGCTGAACAGAAAAAAAAGCAGGCTGTGAGACAGAGCGAAAGGGGAGGTTGTGATGGAGGGGGGTCCGATGAGTGGGAGCGGGTGGGGGGGGGGGCAGTGTGCGTTGTGGCCGGGAAACTTGAGGGATCTTGGGGGGGGGGGGGGAGAAGGGAATGGGTGTCGGTCGACAGGAGGTATTTTCACTTTTGTTCCGAGCGAGAGCAGAGCTCAAAAAATAAGAAGAGGCTCTGTATAAGTAGCGACGAAGCCCTACCCCGTGTGCCCGGCACTTGCACACCATCTGAATCTCCAATTAATGGCCCATTCTGGTGAATAAAACTCACGGCCTGCGAGCGAACGAGTGAGTATACATCTCCAACGCACGTCAAACCAGCGCAATCATCTCCTGCCATGCGTTATGTATGTTGATGTGATATATATTAAAATCCCAGACACCGCAATCGATTATTTATACGAAAAATGTAGATACAAATGCATTGCAAATCCATACCCCAATTATTGCTCACAAAGATCAGTAAAGTATACCATACGTGCACTTTCTAAGACCTAGGATTGCTACCTAAAGGCATTTACTCATAGATAAGGTGTTTAAATATTTGATGAGCAAATATTTCTGTGATTTGAAAGATTAAAGTGAGACATTGTAGAATGTACAAAATTCATGAACCCCAAACAGCTTTTATAAAAGGCTCGTGACTTAAAAAAAACGCAACATGCGAAGAGAAACTACATTTAACAAACTTAATTAACAAACAAATAAACGGCCAGCCTTGCATGGGGAAATTTTCATTATTCTCATTGATAAAAAAAAATCCTTCAGAAGCATTCTCTGCGTTATAATATCAACCAAATAAATCCACGAATGCATTTTGATTAAATATAAAATATACCGAGGCCACGATTAAGTTTACCGAATCCACCCAAATGTATTTGGGAGTGTGCCTAGTGTGCTGCCCGAACACACCTCCCATTGTTGTTTACGAAAGCACGAGGATTGATGACCCAGGGCCCCATTGTGAGTGTGCAAATGGCGACGGTGACGCACTGTGGCGATCAGCATTCCCCCAGCAGCTGCCTCATTTGTTGGTCAGATGTGTGCCCAATGTGGTGCCCCAAGTACTGTATGGGACCGGATAAAGTAATAATCATTACCATCAACATCATCATCGTAAAAAAACAATTGTCTTTTCCGCAATCAAGTTCCAATTATCCTATCGGCGTATGTCATGAGATTAAGTGTCCATTTGGAAATGTCGCGGAGCAGCACAACACAGTGTGTTAAGAATATGGACCACAGAAGCAGATGTGATAGAATTAATTCTGAAAGTCTGACAAGTCATCTGCTGAACGACTGAGCAGGCAACCGCTTCGATCCTCAATCATAAGTAAATGGGTTCTCAAGTGGAGATAATTGATGGTCTCAGCCAAGTTACCAATAATTCAGCGCAAAACTTCACGCTGAATGCGTTTTTTTTTTCATTTCATTTGACATTTCAGCTCTGAGAAATAAAAGTACCGGTTTGACTGTCACGTGATGAGTGGTTCTCCGTAGACAGACACGTGGGAATGTGTGGCCTCGAGTGTATGAATAAAAATGTCATTTTAAGGGATCTCAAGGGGACTAGAGGGGATTTGGAATGTTTGGTTTTGTGGGCCATCCTGTAACAAACGTGGTATGCACTTATTTGTGAGATTTTTCCTACTGGACTCCTTGTCACATGGTATTATGCCAATAGCATAGTAGGAATACATTTTGGAAAAACAAGACAAAAAAATTACCCAAAATGAAATGTTCCATCCATCACAAGTAGGCCCCTCTTTAACACATGAAGAAAATTTGTCATTTTATATATATAAAAAAATGGGGTGGAGTGGTTGCACAGTGATTAGTGCACTGCGGTATGCACCCGACCAACCTTAGTGGCGAGTGATATCTATTCAACCTATTCAACCCTCACAGTGATGAGCGTATTGCAGGTATGGCCAAACAACGCCCAAGATTGATACGGCGTGGGGTTAGCCTTTGCCCACCAGTGGCTGTCAACTGATTACTATTGTACGAACATTAATTTTACTTTAAATAAAATAGCTTGGATCTCTTTCAAAAGAGACAATAAATCTCAGTGACTTTCAACAGTTATATTAAACCGATTTAAATTTGTGTGATAGGGGTTGCGGTTATTACCCCCCCCCCCTTTCACTAACCCGGGCAGACCAGCCTGGTAAAGTATGGTCAAAAACCACCATAACTGACACAGTGTGGCAAGGCCTTCATCCAGCAGAGGATTGACCAAGAGCTTTCGTGACTGCAGGGATTCATCTACTTGGTTCTTTCGGTAAAGTCACGTAGAATGAAAATAAAATAATAAAAATTAAAATAAAACAATATTTTTATTATTTTATTTCCATTCTACGTAACTTTACCGAAAGAACCAAGAAGATGACCAAGAGCTGTTGATACATGCCTTATTTTGACAGCCGCAGTGGCCCTAACATGCAGCAAACTACACCACACTTTCACTCCCCAAACAGAATGGACACGCATGGCAGGGGCCTACCACGCTCATGGCCTTGGGGCCCCTGTCTGTGTATTTTAATTCTCAATACTAATGCTTGCCACTGCGATGGGTCGTCCTACGCGGGCCTCCTCAATGACGTAGGTCAGACTGAAGGAATCTTGATCATTTGGATTCTTTTCCCCATTAGTTTCCAGCCTTCCCCCCCCCCCCCCCCACTGGCAGCGGCTTCAGCGGGCACAGGTAGCACGGGGGGTTTACGTGTTTTTGAATGGTTTGTCGTCACGGGGATTTGAGGCTCCCGCTAACAAAGGGTTGGCACCGCAGATGGATCATGCTAGCTGCTGACATGTTTCAATGCGAGTGATTATTGCAGAGTTAACGTTTCAAAAGGAAGGGGTCTTAGAAGAATGCCTTGCAGAGTGACGCATCATCCTGCAAAGAATCCTGGGGCTCAGGAAGATAAGTACAAGAAAAGTCTAAGTGGTTTCCCGATCAATTGTAGCTGGAGTGGTGTTCATCTCTTGTTTAGAGCCGTGAGCCAGTGGTGAAAATTCCACATTCCTATAACAGAGACAGGTTTATCCAAAGGGCAACTACGATTGACTTTCACGCAAAGTGGTACTCCTTTTTGTCAACCACAGAGAGATGAATGCGTGGGTCAACCCCCGACCGGGATTTGAAGTCACGTTCTTCTGACTCAACTGTACCAGCCCAGAAAGGCTACTGAATGATAACCACCAGCAGCCATCCCTTGCGGTGATGCCGGATGGGGGCCTCCCCACGCCGTGTCGGTCATGGGGGTTGTTTGAGCACGCTTCAACACGTTCGTCTGTGCAGGTCGCTGAAGGGGGGGGTGGGGTGGTGTGGGTAGTGTTGGGGGGGAGGGGGGTGGTGGTGCCACGGCCGGTCGAGATATCATTCGCCAGCGATGTTAGCCGTGGCCGGGAGTTGAACTCGCCGGATTCGTAGTGGTAGTGCGTTCAACCGCTGCTCCGACGCTCCGGCCAAACACAACACAGATCGGGTGCGTGTGGAATTTTTTTTAATTGCCATGCGGAAAATTTTCGACCCACCACCCACGGCTTGTCGCAGAAGGCGTGCACGGAGGAGAGGGGGTTGACGGCCGGAACGCCGCCGTACTCCAGGCCCACGAGCAGCGTCCGGAAATCTTCGCCCGTGCCGCGCGCCGGCTGCCGGACCAGCACGAAGTCCGGCTTGAACGATCTGTCCGTCGTGCAGCAGGGGAGGGGAGAGGCCGCGCGGTGGACGGAGGGCCGAGGGGGTTTTTGGGATACGGGGGCGTTGGGGGGGGGGGGTCCGCGTGCAAGGAGGAACGAGCAAGATTACAGTTCTGGGTGTCCGCTCGGACGCGTTCCGAGAGGAGATGGAGCGATGAAATCAGCCCGTGCTCGTTGGATTGTTACATCGGGGGATTGTGAGAGGTGGTGGTGGCTTTGGAGGCCTTCAATCAGCAGTGAATTGACCATAGCTGATGATGATGCCAATTATGTTTTCTCCAATTGACAAAATTGGCGATTAACATATTAATTGCAAACATTATAAGTTATCTATTCTCACACGTATGGTGTGATGCAACATTTATCGAACGTAGCAATACATTTCAAATCAATTGCAACGGAGGAATTGAATAGCAAAACTACACGAACTCTCTCCTGAAGCCCTCTCGTGGTGAGCAGACCTCGGCATTGGCATTTAGCTTCTGAACACACACATTGCTGCCATCGCACGCAAGAAGAGACTAGAATTGCATCGTGACGTGCCCGGTAATTTCACAAAGTTACACTGCTGAGATTATTTTATTTCAAGATAAAAAAAAACCCCCGCTAGACTTGCAAAAGTGTTCAGTTCTTCTCAGTGTGACTAAAATAAGTATTTTTTTGCCTCTTTAATCTTTGAAGTGCACGCGTACAATAGCCGCTTTGTACAACTCCACATGCCTGCTAAATAGCAGAGGATGGGGGGGGGGTCCCCAAAAGGACAAGTCATTTAAGGTGAAGAAGAGACAAAAAAAATGTGAAGTACTAGGTGCAGAAATACACCCCTGAGTGACAGATTTAGAGCAACACGTTGGCAGTACATGATACTTCATTTTATAAAAATGCCACTAAATTATAATCCCAGCGTTGTGGTTATACGACATGGATGAGATATTTAGTTCTTCACCCAGTCTGGCCTTTTCCATGGCTTTTAATTTATCGTGTTATCTGCCGTGGGTTTCTGTATTTACGAGCAAAGCAAACACGACACGATATTGCAATTATCGTAATTGTACTTGCAAGTGATCATAATTGACAAGGGTGAATTTACGCGCGCGAGAGGTCATCTGGGTTATCCGACCTGCATACACAAAATTATTGGCTGCCTGTCGGCTGGCTGGCTCAGAGGCCACAGCGCTGGGGTGGTACTTTGTAGATCTTGGGTTCGAACCCAGGCAGCCGCCCGTGGGTGAGCTGACGGTGTCAGCCAGGTCACCAATTAAATACAAATGTGGTTCTGTACTTAATCCGGTTAACCTCCAGCTCTGCGAAGTAAAAATATTATATGACGTGACGAACATTCGTCAATAGCAGTGAATGTGGATACGAGGTCACTGAAATATATCGTTCGGAAGTAGTTCAGTGACACCTGCTTGTGCGGGCCATTCTCACACGGGGTTGCACTGCTGTGTGTGGACCAGAGGTCGTTTTAACGTATCTCAGAGGTAGTTCTGTGATATCTGCTTCCATCGGCCTTTCACAAAAAATGAAGGGTTGCACTGACTGCTCTTGGTGCGAATCGCACAATCAGGATAGAAATTGGGGGGGGGGGGGGGGATGCATGTTGATGCATTGATATACAATCCTCCTGCATATGAAGCATGTAATGATGCACCGATTAATCGATTAAATTAATTCATACAGTATAGTCCTTTTTAACATCGACCAGGCTTGCAGAGGTGAAGAGTTCAGCATGATATTCTCAGGCGATTCTCATTGTTGTTTAATTTTCTAACATCACATGCCACAGTGGCCCCCTGGCAAGCCACCGTTTCAAACCCTAAGGGACGGGAGAGGGAATTTCGTGGTAGGGCGTTGATCCGAGGCAGCCCGGCAACTCTGCACTTAAAGGCGACGTGGGTGCCGTTAGAACCGCAAGAGCATTCAAGAGATAATTGAAAAGTCACACGGAGCGGTGAATCACCTGATTGCAGCAGAGCTCACGATTGACGATCATTTTCGACTTAAAAAAAAGCAAAACAAAACCTCGTCATGCTGCGGGACTTTATTTCGGGCGAGTCACGACACACTAGTTTGTAGGTTGAATTTAAACAGCGCAAATATACTTTTACGCAACCTGTAGTGAAAAAAGGCGTGCGTGTTAGCGATACACAAACTAGCAAACTATTTATGGAGCTCTCTCCTGCGACCCCGTAAAACTAAATAATTATATAAACGTGCGTCAGGTCTTTATCCTGACATAAACATCTAATATTGTTCAGTGTCTCAACTGATTGGACTTTCTGATATTTTTTTTTATTTCCTGGAGCATTTGGTAAGGAAAAGTATGGACTGGCATTGCACATCAGGGTCTTCTCGGCAGGGTCAGAGTTTGCTCAATGAGACCCCAAACTCATGTTCTTTTTTTGCCACGAGTATTTTTTTCACCTGATGAAATGGCCTCATCGTACAGAGGGAGTGCACTCACCAATAGCATCAGTTCACTCAGATGGAAAAAAAGCCTGTTCAGCAACGGTTCGCTTGAACCACGCGCTCCTGGGATTAAAGTATAGGTCTGCGAGGTCAGTCGGGCTGTGGACTAAACACACATTTCATATTTTTTTTTATCTGGAGATGCAGAATGCAAGACAATGTGTTTATGATGTGTGCATAATATATTTTTCACAGTCTAAGCGCTGCAAAGAGAGAGCCTTGTACATTGACAGCTTGCCTAACGAGCAGTCTTCCGAAACAATCGCGGCTAAGTTTTTTTTTGTTAACGCAAGTTTAGGAAACATTCTTTTTGAGATGTACAAATAAATAAGCGCGCCTTTAAACTCCGAACCTGCTGTTATCTTCGCGTGTTTACATTTTCTAAAGCGCTATGGTTCGCGCAAAAAAAAAACCCAGCACAGTGCAGTGTGGGAAATCCAAGCCGGCATCAACTTGAACGCAGCCTCGTTATCGCAACGCTGCGTTTTAGTGCCTTAGGTGCCACGGCCAACATACCCAGAGGGCTCTCGGAGCACGTTTTTATTCCTTTCACAATCGTGTGCACATATGCATATGCCTAAAAGGGCACATAGCCTGGCACAAGCGCCGTGGTGACTTCACCGCCACTTAAAACTAAAAACTAAACAAATTGTTTTATTTTTTGATTTAAAGCTTTCGTGACTGCAGTAATTCATATTCTTAGTTTTTTCGGTAAAGTCACGTTGAAGAGAAACAACAAAATAACAAAATATATATATAAAACAATAAACGGTCATCATCAGGTGTGATGATGACCGTTTGAGTTATGGTCGAAACGTCGTGAGAATGTTTTATTGTTTTATATATATTTTGTTATTTTGTTGTTTCTCTTCAACGTGACTTTACCGAAAAAACTAAGAATATAAATTGTTTTATTTTACCAGGTAAGACCGACTGAGCTCTATAGCTCTATTTCAGAAGCGATCTGGGCACACATGATAGCTCAACGGAGTGGCTTATCAGGTGGAAATTTATAGCAGCCAAATACTCTAAACGCACGTTGATTCTAATTGTGGAGGGAAAACGGAGGACCCGGAGAAAAATCCACGCGACCACGGAGAGAGACACACATACTCCAAATATACAGCAGGTGTCAGGGTCGGGATCGAGCCCATGACATCCTGTATACCAGGCGAGGTAATTAACATCTCACCACCGCGGCGCCCAATTATGTTGAACTTTTTTCGCACCGTACGTAGCCACCCGTGTTAATCCAAGGTGCGGGAAACAGCCATGAGATAACTACAGCGGGAAGCTCTGTGGATAGGAGTCCAGAAACTCCCTTTCCAAAGTAATCCGTGCTGTGGTCTCCCTGCGCCTGTTAAAATCAAGGCTTACGGCTTTCTTTCCTTGAGCTTATGACTGCCTCTTTATATCGAAAGATAAACATCGCCACTGTTTATGTGTACAGTATCGTGAGATGCAGTCGCATGCAGACGTTATATAAACACAAATTGTGTTGGCTCCCATCAAGAAACCATACGTAGACTCCAAGACACACATTTCATAGCAGGCAGTATGCTCTGATTAACTGATTAAAACCGTTCTTCTTTTCGCTAGATATGTAGATGTTTATCCTTCATGTAAACCGAGTCTGCTTCCCAAGAGGGGGAAAACAATACATTAACAGTAAACAACAATGATCCAGAATTAATTATCATCTGAGACACATTTTATCTCCGGCACAGGGTATAGCTCAAAATAAATTACATTCATAACGACCAAGCAATGGACACAACACATTCCCAACGTACTTTATCGGGACGTGCGTGCTTTAATGTTACCCAAGGGACACGCAGATAGCAGGTACAAAGTGCCAATGTATTGGACATTACATCGACAGCAATCGTTTTCGCCATGAAGCATCCCTAAACGATACGTATAAACATAAGTAAATACGGATACCAACAATCCCCCAGGCAGTGACGCTTCAATTAAAAAAAACAATTGAACGCAGTCTTCAGGACAGCACCCGCGGTCGTTTAAAAAAAAATTACACGAGACATTTCACCGCGGAAATGGCTCGAAACACCGACTTGTTTAAAGTGAAACATGGCCAATGCAATTCATCACAATCTGTCCAGCATCACACTCTGAGCGTTGTCGCTGTTGTTGACAACACACCTGTGTTGTTAAACATGGTGGGGGGGGCGGTTATTTTTCCGAACGATTCTCCCCTCTGGCGTTTTTAATTCAATTCCGAATAATTTTTCGATTCCCGCCCCCTCCCCCCCCCACACACAAAAAAGAACAAACGTCAAATCCAATAATATTCCCACAGAGCGAGCGTATATTTACTTTCATAAGTATGGCCGTGTGCCTGTCCAAAGAATATAAAATAAGTGTCTAATAATAAAAGCGCTTATTTTTGTGTGCGCTCGCGTGTGATTTTGTGGCATTGCGGTGGAAATGGAGAGCGGTGGAATAGCGGTTAGCGCGCTGCCGCTATGAGCCTGGAAATTAGAGTTCGATTCTCAACCACAGCTGACAGCAGTGGCGAACATGATCTGGTCCTCCTCTAAGTAAAGTCAGCCGAACATGAGCACCTGGTGCACCAGGAGCGAGGGGGGACAGAGGCAGCGATTGGTTGTGGGTGCCGGGCACACCACTCCCACTCGGGCGCCGTGCCAGCCTTAATCGGTGATCGCTGGCAGCATTCAACCCCCAACAGTCTTTGACAGCCCTATACAAGCCTTTGTTTAGTTTTTGTATGTCAGTCGTACTGATCATAGGTGGCACGGTGGCGAGATGTGAACTACCTTTCCTGGTATAGAGGAGGTCGTGTGTTCGATCCCGACGCTGATGCCTGTAAATTTGGAATTTGCGTATTGTAATCATGATCACGTGCGGGTTTCTCTGGGTCCCCCGATTTCTTTCCTTCCACATTTAGCAACATACGTTTCGAGTATTTGTCTGGTATAGTCTGCCACATGATAAGCCACTTCGTTGAGTTATTATTTGCAGCCAAGCCACTTTTGAAAAAGAGCTGTATAACTCAATGGACCTTACCTGGTAAAATAAAAAGCTTAGTTTAGTTTATTTAAATGGTGGTGGCGTATGCCTGTAATTTAGTACTGTGGAAGCAAGGGTTGGTGAATCACACAAATGTTTCATCATTAGACCTCCTTTGCCAGTACCAAAATGTAATAATAGGGGTTTTCCCCTTTTTTCTGGCAACAAAACTGAAACCTTTTTACTAGGAATCATGTCTGCATTAACCACAATACCTGCAGTCAAAATGCAAACAAAAAACATACTATGATAATATATGCATTGTCCTTGAAACTGATTGGTCCACACCAAGGGACGGCTTTCTTTTCAGGTGCTCCGGTTTCCTTCCACATTGTAAACAATCAATAACTGGCCAATAACACCGTAATATATAGAGGACTGCAGAGCTTGGGGCTGGGAGGGGGGAGGTTGGGGGGTAGTTTGGCACCGGCTCACCACGTGGCAGCCTTTCCCGCTTGTCTGGTTCCTTGCGTCTCCGAGTCGTTATTTCTCTACAAGAGTGAGCGAATAATCCTGTGCGCGTTACAAAGTTTAAATCATTATATCGACTCTGTATAAAAGTATCATTGAAGCGTCGATTCGAAAAACGAACGATTGTCAGGGAAGAATAAGGAACAGACAAACGTTCCACCAGCTATGGTCAATTGTTGCCACGTTCGTGACATCCTTTCTGGCTGAGCGATAAACCCGGATTGGACCGTATCTGTGTGCGTGTGGGTGAGTGCTTCGGCAGGCATAAAAAAAAATCAAGCCATCTCTCATGTTTTTTTTTTACTTCACAATCTCGTCAAGGAGTGTAAACCACAACACGAACTCCGTTCATCCTCACTCCGGCTTGTGGCTATCCATCGAACAAAGGCGGTCACTGCACCGCGCGTTTTCAGATACGCTTCTGTGGCCGTCTGGAATGCTCTTCCGATATTAGGAAGCCACTGGAGCTTTGCACTTTTACATCATCTTTATTGAAAATTAATTTCTTTAGAACTGCTTTTTTGCGTTTAGTTTGGTGTCCTTCCCTGCACCTCCGATTTGCACGGTTGGCTACGTACGTGCGAAATAAGTTCATACATACAATTCGGTGAGGATTTACTGGGTGAGGAATGTGTGGTAGGTATCGTGGCTTACCTCACTACCTTGGTGCCGTTCCTCATGAGCTGCATGTCCACCATACAGCCAGTCTCCGTGTAAGCGGCCAGGTTGATCTCAGAAAACTCCGCCTGCAGTGGAAAACGCCAAAAAAAATATATATACAAGTTTAGAAATTGTTTGCATGGCCTGTAATGCGACTATCGTTGAAACAGCCCGTCGATCGGCAGGTCGCGTGCATCGGGAGTTTGGTGTGGATACTCCCCACCTCTTCGAAGTTGCCCGGCTAGCATGCAAGAGTAGGCCACATACCCTGAAGAGGGAATTCTTCAGAGTTCCCTCTAGCGGGGGGCCAGCAGTGTTGTGAGCCGTTGCAGGGATGTATCTTTAAACTTGATTTGGATCTTTCGTGACTGCAGGAATTACTCTTTGTTCTTTCGGTAAAGCCACTGAAACAGCCACCAAAAAAACTGGGCTGAGTCATTGCGAATATATTTTTTTATTGCATTGCATCGTGCGACCGTGAGAGAGACGGCCGAAACCTTGGGAGAGGCCTTCATCCAACAGTTGATAGGTCGTGACGACGATGAATGCAGATTTGTAAACTTATCGGGCTAGGACGTTTTTAAAATTAATAGTCATACATGCAAACAGGTGTTTCAGAAAGCAAATGAACAACACAAATTCCCAGCATGCTCTGCATGTCAGGGTTACATCGCCATTCTTGCAATTATTATCTGTACACAGCCTGCGTTGGCCAGGAGTTCTAAAGAAACGTCACAGTACTCAAATTGTAAACGTTGTGGGTTTACCCTCCAACACACCGGTGTGCTGAAGTAGTAACTAATTGACACGTTTTGTTTACGTGACGAAACTTACTAATTGGCTGTGTCGGGTGGTGGTGGATTAACGACATATATATTTGTACGCTACCTAACCTATACAACCTTAATTAAAAAAAATTAGTCGCGACAGTTCGTGAGAGCTTAAAGTGTGGCCTCTTCGTGTTACACAGAAGCAGGACAACAAGGCAATAGTACACCGGTATCATCCTTATTAGAACTCATGAACACAGTGTCGCCATCACTGCCTCGTTAGTCAGAGTAACAGCTTGCAGTTGGCTTTTAAGTTGTTGCAATCAAAACAAAATAAATCCACACACAAGTGCACGCACAATACCTCCTGAGATAGAACCAGTTGTGTAACAACAATAAAAGATTTTGATTTAAAGCTTTCGTGACTGCAGGGATTCATATTCTTGGTTCTTTCGGTAAAGTCACGTAGAAGGGAAGCAATAAAATAATAAAAATATCAAACAATACAATTTATATAAAAATAATAAAACAATAAGAAAGAACCAAGAATAACAATAAAAGAGATAACATCGCTTTGAAACAAATTCCTTCGAGTTGTGCCCTCCATTAACGATACATGACTAAAGATTAAAAACACTACGGAGGTTCTGTACACGTGCTCAAGGATGACTCCAAGGCATGCCAATGAGCGAGCACATTCACTCACTTCGGCTTGTTTCACGTGCACCGAATACTTGGGCTGTTCTGGGACTCGGGGTTCCATTGAGGCCAGCTGTTTGACCACAACAAACACATGTGGTGTATTCCCACGCCATGGGTGCTGGAGGAGTATGAATTTGTGGTCGCTGTTACAAAGCTCATTTGTGATAATGCGCCCATGATTGGCGTGGTGCAGACGCCCATTTTAATTTCGAGAAGCAAATGTTCTAGTTGTGGGTTATAAACAAATCAAAAAGTACACACAATGCACAAGGTGGCCGGGTGTTTCTCAGAGGTCAGAGTGCTGTGGGTTGTTTCCAGGCATCTGCCCGTGATTAAACCAGGTCTGCTCGCGGAGTGATGGTCTCAATCTGTCACCAATCTACTTAGATAGCCATCTGCCTCGTCGGTCGTCGTTCTACACTCAGTTGCCCACAGTCCAACACTCGAGCTCCTTTGGGTTACTCAGGTGAGTATGGTTGGGGGGAGGGGGGCCGGGGGGGGGGGAAGAAGAAAGATTTCTGACAGACCTTGGGAGTTCGGATGTCGACTTTGCAAGAGCTGTGGAATCTAGCGGAGGAGGGGCAACGATGACGAGGTGTGATGGCATCAACGGCATTGGCCCTGTTGACCTCTTGACATTGACCCTGAGCATGAATGTGAAAATTTCGTTACCGGATGTGGTTGCTTAGAAACGAGAGTTTTTAGTGGCCCTCCAAAGGATGGGAGAATGTCATCGGAGCCAATGTACTGGCATTGAACCTCGAATTGCTAATTGTTTTGAAACATTATTACGAGTGAACAATCGAGTATGTTCGTTACATACTCTTTGGTTCTATTGGGTAAAGTCACGTAGGTGAAAATAAAATAACAAAAAATCACGACGTTTCGGCCACAACACAAGCGGCCTTCATCAGGTGTTCGTGGATATGTTCGTTACAACAAAAAACTCAAATATAAAGTCGGTTGATATTTCACGCAAATGCTCTTCGTCAGAGCACAGCGAGAGAGAGAGGGCATTGTTGGAGATCACACTTTATACTTGGGGACTGTGAGAAAACTGGACCATTCTAATGCATTTGGAACATTTTGACGATTTTCATTCATGGTTCGTGTACCCATACCATTGCAGTTGCTTACTTTTTCCAGTCACACCCAATTATTTTTCAGGGAAAAAAACGCAGCTACGTTGCTCTACCGAAAGCAACTGAAAGAGTAGAAAATGCGAAGAGATAAATAGATGTTTTTTCAATATCTGATTATCATAAAAAAACTTAAAAAAGCACGTGTTGGCATAAAAATTGAATGTAAATCTTCACCCATTGGCCAGCAGGGTTATTTACGATACCCTGCACCGACTGTTACGGCCATCATTCAACCAGGCGTCTGAACGCGTTACGGGTGGATTTTATGGCTCACAGTCCTAGCACTGTATTCTTGGTTCTTTCGGTAAAGTCACTTAGAAGGGAAGAAAGTCACGTAGAAGAACAAGAAAATGTTCTTGTTGTGGTTTTCACACCTGGTGATGATTGCTTGTGTTGCAGTCGAAACGTGGTGAGAATTTTATTGTTTTATATTTTTATTTTTTTTATTGTTTCCCTTCTACGTGGTGACTTTACCGAAAGAACCAAGAATATGAATCCCTGCCGTCACGAAAGCTTTAAATCACAATTTAGTCCTAGCACTGGTTTATTGAAAGGAATGTACTGATGAGCTGTGCATCGCTTGCCCAGTAACTTCACGTGGCACTTTCTCTGGGGAACAAAATGCACCATGTTCGTTTTGGGTTTTTTTTCTCTCCATCCAAGATCAAGTGTGTAGGCAGTGCAACTGCATTGGGGCCCCACAGATCAGAGGGCCAGGTCCACCCAGAGGAAGGGGGAGAGGGACATTTTCTTCCGGGACTTACACAAAAGAGGGCCCAACATACGGGCCTGGTTTTTTTTCGTCGCTCATAAATAAGATGACCCCATGTGGAATTCTTCCCCGACCCTCCAGCCCTGAGCTTCCAGAAACATCTGGGCTGCCCTGTAAAGGAACGCAGGGGCCAGGCTATGAAGCGAATTAGAATTGGACAGGATGGGGCAGGGGGGGGGGAATTTTTATTTCTTGTGCTAGGGCGCATGCCAACCACGCTACACCACAGCGAAGAGCAGCAGGGGGATGTGGATGGCCAAACTGGGCTTCCGCCAAAGGCGTTGATCCTTTTTTTTTGCAGCGGAGCAAATATGTCACTGCGCGTTGCCATAAAATACTCCGAGATGATTCCAATGCACCTACGGCGTACAATTAAAACAGGAGATGGTGTTTGCAGCCCACACACTTACAGCTGACACGTACAAATAGCGTCGTGCTTGGCAATGTAAGCGTTTACATATTTTCATTTAGGTTCAACAACAAACATCCTAGCATACGGAGCGGTATATATAATATGTAGTCTACATATAGCTAATCTTATTTTGCGTGTACAAACAGTGGGAGGCATTCAGCCTGTTGGCATTCAGGGGGGTAAATTCACAAGGATTAAGTATCCTGTGCAGCGCATCTGCCATACTTTGGTTACACCCTTGGCCATAACGCAGGTTATTACACTCCTCATCACCATCATCATCAGCTATGAGCCCCGAGTTGTTGCCATTTCTCACGGACTTGTGATGCGAAAATTACATGCAGTACTTGCACATGAGCTGATTTTATTGTTCCATCTCTGCGGTGCACGCCCTTTCGGGTACAATCCCTTCTTCGCCTGTGACTCCGTCGTACGTCTCGACCACCGGCCATCGAACCTTTGTAGCGACGTGTCCTGTGCAAACCCCACGTAATTTTTTTTTTATTTTTGTATTGAACAAGTTTGAAAACTCATTCCTGTAGAACTGCTTTTTAGTGTTTAGTTTGTTGTCTTTCGCTCCCACACCTCCGATTAGCACGGTTGGCCCATTACAAAAGCACGAGCGCTTGGGGAAAGCGGTACGGATATTCCGCAGACGAAAAGCCCGAGGCCTGGGGAGGGAAGAGCGATTAGGCTCACTGCCCCCTTACACACGTAGGGGCAACGTTCGGGATGAATGGTCAACTTGGGTGTGTTCTCTCATCCGTGTCCTCCTCTGCCTGTTTCTCAGTGTAACGCATTGTGATTGTACCTCTCTCGCTCTCAAGCAAAGACAAAGACCCCACGTATTGACTTAACAGACTGTTGGGGCAAGTGCTGTTAGCGAGCACATATTAAGGCACATGCATCACACGAGAGGGGGTGGTGTGGCGAGCACCACAAACGGGCCCCAAGTGCTGATGTCTACACACCGAATCAGATACACATTTAAGGCCGAGTAGCTGGGAACTGATGTCAGGTCGCTGGGTTCATAGTGCAGTGCACTCACAACTACACCACAGCTTCCTATGTACACACACGCGCGCGCGCAAAGCCACGATAAATAAAATAAACACATCATGAAATATACACGAAAGACGCACCGATCCCTTACGTCTGTCCATGCATGCTCAAATGCTACCAATGTATAATTTATGAGATGTTTTGGTCACCTCTGCCAAAAGGGGTGGCAAGTGGATTTTTGAAAGCTGCCACTATAGCCATCACCCACCGGATGATGTGTCTGGAA